CATGGCTAGCTCTCTTTAGTCAAATGAGATTTGTTTTCTTTCTTTATGAGCTTTCAAATATGAACCAAGTCGTTTTCCTTCAAAGATCCACCTTTGAGCAAAATTTTGAAAAGCTTTCTTGAGTTTTTTTCCCTTAAACTTGTGATAGTCCTTTCATGTGTCCCAAGCCCATCATTTATTGTGTTTAACCTTCCATACGGACTTTTTCTTTGACCTAAAACATCTTGGCCTTGTCTTGGACAGTTCATGAGGTCGTGGTCTTCCATGCAGTCTTCCATTTGAGTTTGAATTGCATCATGATCAAGGGATCTTATGTAACTTAGTGTGAGTTGGCCCCCTTTACTCGTATCACATAGACCTCATTTTTTTTTCTCTATTTTTGACTTGAAGAATTTTCACTGTCATCCTCAAATCCTTAACATGAAATAGAAAGGGAAAAAATTCAATAGGTATGTGGTTATTTTAATAAAATTGAGATATGGGAAAAATATAATTATTACAAGAAAAATTGAGTTTGCCTTTAAGGTGCTTAAACCTGGAGCATAACCAATTGACAAATAGATTCTTGAGCTTTAGCCACATGCCACAAGGTGTTCTGGCTAAAGCAATGAGAGAGATGGTTGTATCGCTGGCTAAGGCTGAAACGTTGTATAAGATCATGAAGTCTTATTGAATTTAAAAATGCCTTACTAGGTTTTTCAATTCCATCAATGGCAAAGACTATAGAGGATGGATTTGCATTTAGGATTAGTAATGGCAATATTTTGAAAAATTCTGAAGCCATGTGAAAAGATGGATTAATGCTCAAATACCATATAGGAGTTAATGTAAGAGTTTTCTCTTTCATCTTGAATTATTTCAGAGTACAAAGAATTTATATAATTACATTTAAGTTAAAATTGTACTTGTATAAATTACTCTTGTACTTTTTCTTTGATAAAGAAGCTAATTTATATTATTTTATAATTTTTATGTGAAGGTTGGGAAATCTCTTAAAAGCAATGAATCAGATTATAAGTTGGAGGCAGTCAACCAATTGCCACAAATGATACCAAAACTATGGACTCACAAAATCAACCATAATACAAGTGAAATTCAGGCTATTGACACATCAAATAGGTTGAGCCATCTTGGTTCTACTCTAGTCCTATCAACTTGCAAACGCTCATGGAGGTTTAGCTCAAATAAATTTTGGATTCAAAATAGTTCTATCTATGGTCTATATAGTTCAAATTTGGGGCATCAGAGAAGACCCAAACATAAGATTACTTACATGGTCCCGAATTGGTCTAATCCAACCTCGCTTCAAGCATGTTTTTTTAAAATTTAGAAATTATAAAAAAAATGTAAATTAAAGAAAATACTTAATATATTTGGAAATAAATTTATATTTCAATTATGTGCTTAAGAAAATGATTTCATTTGTATTATCTATTAAAAAGTATATATATGACTCTTATTTATATAATTATCTAAATATATTTATGGTATTTTTATATGCATACATAGATATCATTATGTGATAGATATGGATATATATCGCCTATTCATGAACGCATTCCCTTTTACCTTTTTCTTTTTTTCTTTTTTTCTTTTTTTTTTCTTTTTTCCGAGGCTCCCAACATGTAGGTTACCAAGTCTTGATAACTTTTTTTTTTTTTAATTTTTGAAACAATAAATCTCTCAATTAGTATAGAGATACACTTAGTAATCAAGTGGCAATAAATTAAATATGTTGGTAATAGTTCGTTTTTTATTTGGTTAAAGCTGGTTTATGTAGGTCCAAATTCGAGCATAAAAAAGTTCATTTAGCCAAACAAACAAAATTGGAGTTTGAAGGTAATTTGTTTAAGAACTCAGCAAAAGTATTTGTTTACTTATTGATAAATTAAATAGTTTTATATCTTTTCTCAAAGTATAAATAAATAATATATTTTTGGATACATTTTTATTCTGTAAATTACGTATATTATGTTATTTATCAATATTTTTAATAAAAATAAATAAATAAATTATTAAACGGGCTTTTCGTCAAGTTTTCCGAGCTTGATTTTCCATAATCTGAACTTAATCAAGTTCATTTGGACTTGATTACTGAACTTTTCCTTTTAATTTTATGTTTATCTAAATGAGTTTAACTCAAAATTAAAAAAATTTGACTTCAGATTCTAATCAAAAAATCAAACTCCAATATTTAAAAATTCGTAGCGAGTATTTCATTTATTATATTTAATTCTCTTATAAATCAAAATTATGCTTTATGCCTATAATCCACAAGAAATAAAATTGACTTTATTTATTTTTAAGAAGTTTATACAATATTGAAGTCAGAGATGTAGCATTTGAATTCTAGTTGCTGTTGGTTATGTGTCCAGCCCACAAGACAAATTAGTAATTTAAAAGAAAAAATAGGGCTGTAGTTTCCTCTTATATATATATATATATATATATATATATATATATATATATGATGCAGCGGAGATAAAAAAATTCAAAAAAAGAGAGAGGTTACGCAGAAAAGAAAGATAGAGGGAAGGAAGAGAAGAGAAAAGGAAGAAGAAGAGAAATCGGAAGAGGTATGTATATAGGTTGAGTGGTTGTCCAGAGAAAAGGAAAAAGGTCGTTTGTCATTCTCTCTCATCGATGACATCATTGCTGACATCATTTATTTAACCTTTTTTCAAGAAAATTATTTGATTTTATTTTTTTTTCTTCAAATTTTACACAAAGAAAATACTGTTTTTTTTTTGTTCTAGATTTAATTATTGATGATTACCTTGTACTTATTTATGTTAATGGTATATTTGATTTGGAGATTAACTTGTAGTTTTTTCTTTTATATTGAAAGGTTTTTTATTTAAAATTCTGTGTCTATTTAATTTTACGATTACTATCTGTTTATTATTTTTTACTCAGTTGTGGATCAATTTAGTTTGCAATTATAGTTATTAGTTTCTGTTAATTAATTTGAAATTGATTTAATTTATACAATTAAGTTTATCTCTGTTCGAGACCCAACAAGTGGTATAAGAGCTCGGTTGACTAGTTTGTTGATTGATTTGCAGTTTGAGATTGATATGTGAATTATGATGGAGGAATTTGTTGGTACTATGATAAAATTGTCTTCTTTAAATTATTCAATTTGGAAGTCAAAAATAAATAATCTTCTTTATTATAAAGATTTATATGATCTGATTAAGTTAGGAACTATTAAGCCAATGAAAAAATCAGATGATGATGGAAGAAGATGCATAGAAAAACTGTAGGAATTATCCGATAATAGGTGGATAATAGTGTCTATCATTATATAAACAAAGAAATGAATGCCAAGGTTTTGTAGAATAAATTGAAAAATATGTATGAGAGAAAAAATGCTCGGAATAAGACTTTTATCATAAAAAAAACTTCTCAATCTAAAGCTGAGAGATGGATAATTACTTGCTGAACACTTGAATAAATTTCAATAGTTAGTAAATAAGTTGAACACAATGAAAATTACTATAGATAATGAATTGCAAGCGTTACTGCTCTTGAGTTCTTTGCTAGACAGTTAGAAAACCTTAGTAGTATCTCTTAACAATTCTGCTCCAGACAGTTTTTTGTCTTTATCTATGATAATAAATAGTTTGTACAATAAAGAGACGATGAGAAAAGATATGGGTATTGAGACTTCACAGACACTTGTTACTACAACAGAGAGTAGGAGTAGAAGTAAAAGTAGAGATTCTAAGGGACGTTATAAATCCAGAGGTAAATTATATGCAAAAGGAAAGTTCAGGATTTGGAAAAACAAAATACTAAGGAAAAAAAAAACAGATGATCAGAACACTACTACAATTGTAGCTGATGACAGTGAAGAACTAGTTGTACTTTTATTTGTTGAGAATCATAGCCACGCCATTGATTCTGATATTAAGTGGGTTGTTGATTCTGCAACATCCTAATCATGCTACATCTAGAAGAGATGTCTTTACTATGTACAAAGCATGAGATTTTGGCAGATTGAAGATGGGTAATACCAACTACGCAGACATTGTGGGTATTGGTGATATTTATGTGTAAACAGATGTTGGTTGAACGTTGACTTTGAAGAATATGCAGCATATACAGATTTACATCTTAATTAGATTTCTACTAATACTCTTGACTTAAATGGTTATTACAATCTATTTTGTGCTAGAAAATAGAAACTCGCTAAAGGTTCCGTTATGGTTGTTATAGGCAAATTGTGTCATACACTTTATAAGACTCAGGTGAATGTTATTAGAGGTGCACTAAATGCAGCTGAAGATGATGTTTTACTAGACTTGTGGCATAAGAGGCTAACTCACATAAGTGAGAAAGGGTTGTAGATTTTGGCAAAGAATTCTTTTATTCCTTGTATAAAAGGTATGAGTCTAAACCCCTATGATTATTGTGTGTATGGTAAACAACATAGAATTTCTTTTACTAGCTCATCTGAAAAGAAAAAGAATGTTCTTAAATTAGTTTACTCTGATGTGTGTGGTCCTATTGATGTGGAAACTATAGGAGGTAGCAGATATTTCCTTACTTTTATTGATAATGTTTCACAACATGTTTGGATGTCTGTGTTGAACGTTCTTCAGTATTTAAAGCAATTTCATGTCATGGTGGAAAAAGAGAAAAGAACTTCCTCAAAATATTTTTGTAGTGATAATGGTGGTGAATACACTTCAAAGGAGTTTGAGAAT